TGTCCATGGACTTGATGAGTAGGACCTCCTACTCGACGAGTAGAGCAAGATTCCAACCTATAAATAGAGGTGTCAGGTTTCCTCATTCTTCACACCTTCCCAACTTCAATTTTTCTCTCTACTTTCTCTCTCTAAGCCCTCAACCTCCCCCCCCCCCTAAGCCTAGGTAAACCCCCTAGCACCCGAAGGAATCCCCGAGGCTCCCGAATCCCCGAGAAAAGAGCCCTTCGGTGCAGAAAATCTACTCCGGCGGAGCCCGGTTTTCGAGAAAACCCACTGTAAGTGAGCTACGCCTACCCTATCGTTAATATATCTTATGTTTTAATACAGTAATGTTATTAGGACCTTATAATAAGTATTTGGGATATTATTATGATTTATATAAGTGTTGTTATAATATCTTTTTAACCACTCGTGGTATGGGGAATCTGGTTTAAAGGGTCGCATAGGGTTGTTGGATTTTGAAAGTGTTATATGCCAATATGCTCCTGCCCTCCGGTGTTTTATGTCTGGCCCCTGCTTGGATATATAGTGGTTGAGAAATATTGTTTCATGCTTATATAATAGTAATAATAGCAAGACTATTAATTAGTCTCGGTGAATATTAGACTAAACTCTAGTGGTAATGATACTAGGTTTTCTCAAAGGAAAATTGTGTTAAGAGTAATGAAGTGTTGTCCGAGTGTCGAATCACTACCTTTTCAAGTGAGTGCATAGTCCCTTTCATAAATATGGTTTTAATACAAGTATTGATTGAAGTATTAATTATATGTTTATGTGCGAGTTAATTGATGTTGCCTGAAATACGTGTTAAAGAATATACCTTATTATATATGATGATTTAGGATAAAGAGTAAACCTAAATTAATTATGAGGAATATTGGGTAGTATTTTCTTATGAGTATGAGTGACTTATACTTAGAGAATAAAACTTTAGTATATATCATTGATCCGGGAGCATGGATTAGGCATAGTCATTATCCCTAGTCCGAGAGTATGGATTGACATAGTCAACTATCATTAATCTAGGAGTATGGATTAAGACATAGTCAATTGTCCTTAGTCCGGGAGTATGGATTAAGACATAGTCAGTCGTCCTCAGTCTAGGAGTATGGATAGGTCATAGTCGATCGTCGTTAATCTAGGAGAATGGATTTACACATAGACAATTGCACCTAATCCGAGAGTATGGAGTGGGTACAATTATTGATCCGAGAGCATGAATTAGATTCAAGAGTATAGGTTAAGTAAGAGGTAAACTTTAAGGTCCGAGAGTATGGATAGTCTCGTTGTAAGGATTAACGGGGTGGGGTAAGAGTTGCTTATATATATATATATATATATATATATATATATATATATATATATATATATATATATATATATATATGGTGAAATTGTATATTTTATGAGTTCTAAATTATATATATGATATAACATTGTGGGATTACTCACCGAGTTTCCTAACCTGACCCACTCAAGCTTATTTGTATCATTACACTGAGAGATTAAAGAGATGTAGATCACTAGTGTAAATTAATGTAAGTTCAGTTTATGTTTATATTTCTGTATTAACAATGACATCCCAAATGCTTTAAAATGAAGAAAAAACTGCAACATTGGTCCCTGTGGTATTCAAAAAACTTTGGATAGGGTCTAAAAAGTTTTTGACTTGGATGGAAGGTCCAAAATCAAGAATTTACTATGATTTTAGTCCAAAAAATGTTGAAATGACTATTTTGCCCTTTTCATTTCCTTTTTTATTTTTATATTTGTTTTAATACTTTATTAAGTAAAAAACAAACATAAGAAAAATCAAAAAGTATGTCAGGTCCACCCAACCCACATGTTCGCTCTCTCTCTCTCTCTCTCTCTCTCTCTCTCTCTCTCTCTCTCTTTCTATCTATCTCTCTTTCTCTCTCTTAAATACATCGACACACCTTTGTATTTCTCCTTCACCTCCAAAAACATTTAACCCTCTTCTCCATTAGAACCAGAAGCTTCCTTCTACTCCCACAGATCCACTACAATCCCTTCACCTCCAAAAACATTGAACCCTCTTCTCCATTAGAACCGAATCCACCGCCATTCATGAAGATACAACTCATCACTTACCATATTTCCCTTCCAAACTCACCATTAAAGATCTGCTCGATAAACCCCTCAATACCTGCATCTCCACCACGTATCAACAACAGAGATATCCATCACTAAAAAAGATGAAAAGTCAATCTTCTAAATTCATCTCACCAAGAACAATGTTGAATGAGGAATATTGTTCAAATTAATGAACTCATCCAGGTTCGCCTCTTTTGCAATTGGGTTGCATACTATTCTTGATAGGGTTTTCAATGAGCATCCAAACTTAAAGTTATTGACGATCTTTTGCACCTCCGATTATAATACAAGCCTGGTTCTCATTAAAGTTTAAAATGGTGGTGACCTATTGAACTGGGAAAACCCATCAGTGGGTTTGAAGAGGCGAATACAAATACCAGATCGGAATCCACACAACCCAAATACATTGCATCCGATTTCAAACCCAAATACATTGCTTCTTCTTCTTCCAGTTCCATCAGCCATCAATTTGTATGTTTTTATGTTAGTCGTTATTCCTAAAAAAAACCCATAAATCGATTTGTGTTTGTTTATGTTAATCATATATGTGTTGTTTGAGACTTTGATTTGCAGGTGTTGAAGAGAGAGAGAGAGAGAGAGAGAGAGAGAGAGAGAGTATCGGTAGGGGTGGGGTGGGCCCAATTCTTTCATTTTTAATTTTTAATTAATAAAGTATTAAAGAAAATGTCAAAAAAATACAAAAAGAAATAAAAAGGGCAAAACGGTCTTTTCAAGTTCTCCAGGGACCAAAACCAAAGGAAATTCTTGATTTTGGACCATCCATGCAAGTTGAAAACTTTTTGGACCCTATCCAAAGTTTTTTAAATACCACAGGGACCAATTTTGCAGTTTTGTCTAAAATGAATAAAAATACATTTCTTCAGAAATGATTTGATAATGTATTTATCATGTTTTACTAGGAACAAATTCCGCAATATTTTCACTAAAAGAGGTACTCTGATTTTTATAAAACATAAACAAAATCGATCTTTTCTGACCGTGAAAATGGGGATGTCACAGAATCCAACCAAAAGGTTATTGGGTTGGGGCATTCCAACCGAAAGGTTGTGGGTTGGGTCATTCCAACCAAAAAGTTATGGGCCAGGAGTAATCCAACCTAGAGGTTGTGGACCCATGATTTGTCTGGTTAGATGTTTGTGTGGTGGTACTTTGATGGAACTCACTAAGCTTTAGCTTACAATTTTAATTTATTGTTTCAGGTACTATAGAGGATCGTGGGAAAACAAAGGTGTGATCATGCACAACTTCCTATTTTTATAGATTTGGGTCTTGGGAAAACTCTGATTTTAAAATAATGTTTTTGGAAACAGTGACTCTTTTGTAAACAATGAAGTTTAATGGTTGATTTTGAGAATTTAAATTTCTTTAATTTTTGGGATGTTACAGTTTAAAAATAGCAAATGTACTTTGGCATCAATAAATGCATGTTGATTTGGTGATTGTGTTTTTGTCCCTAGTTCAAGAAATAGCAACGTACTTTTGGTATTTCTTGTATTTAAGTTCAAGAAATAGCAATGTACTTTGGTGTTTCTTGTACCTAAGGTTCTTTAGCACAAAAGAGTAGATTATTTAATTTCAAAGTCTAATGTATCCATATAATGATCAATAAATGTATGTTAATTTGGTAATTGTGCTTATGTTTTAAGCGCAAGAAATAACAATGTATTTTGGTTTTTTGTCTCTAGTTTAAAAATAGCAATGTATTTTGGTAGTTTTTGTTTATATTTGATAATTTAACTTTTAAGTTTATATATGTTGTTATTTATTATATAGTTGGAAAATCTTCGGATAATGTTCAACGACTCGGCGTGTATGGATAAGCTTTATGCTTTTTTCAATCGAGGAAAGATCAAGGAGGAAACGACGGGAACGGAGGTAATAGTTTGTCTGATAATTAGTTTGTGTTTTGTATGTTAGACTTGTCGTGACTTTTTAATACTAGCTTGTTTTTGGTTGTTTATTTTGGTATGAAATTAATTATATCTACTATCATTACACTATTTGGTACTTAATCCAATATTATGTAATTTTTTGTTTTGCATTGAATGTCGTTATGTATCGGTTTTTTTGCACCAAAATCATTGATTAAAACAAATGAACAATGTTATTATCGGCAATAGAAGTAATTACCGCCGACAGGAGCATTAGCAGAGACATTAGGTGCCTATTACCGGTGATAACAGCATTAACATCGACAGTTTTAGCTATAGCAGTAGCAATGACTTATTATCGGCGACGTGCCGCCGCTATTACCTTTAACGGCGACTTTTTTAGTCTTTAGCGGCGACTTTTGCCTCCGCTAATTCCTTTTTTTTTTCTTTTTTTTTTGGTGATGTACCTATGTAAATGATACGTATAATTTGATTAAATAAAGGTATACCATGGACCATGAATAATTTAGTTGTGTAAAAATTGAGTGAAAAAAAAAATGAACCTTGAAAAACGAAAACCCGTTTGTGGATGTGGGTAATCCAAATTTAGAGACTGAATACGGACAGATTAGTCACTTGCTTAAGGAAAATGATTGTCTTTCTTGTTACACCATCCGAGAAGAATCTTGATATATGGAGACTACTTTGGAGTGTTATTGAACGTAACGATCTGTAATGTTGGCATATTGTAGCTTTGTATTTTATTTTTCATATCTGAATAAATATGACCACAAAAAGTATATTACCAATTCAATTATTTGAAAATTACATCCCAATTCATAATTTTGAGCAAAAGGATAAGTGGATACAAAGGGGTATATTAAATAATATTGTATGGTAGATGATTTCCCATTACAACTGTTTGAGAAGTTGAAATGGTCAATCCGTCGGTTGTCTGTCAAAACTCAAAAGCACAAAACGTCTGAAATCCGTCACAAGAATCTGTCACAATACTTCCGTCCGAAAACTGTCACAAATTTACCTATGCAGTTTTTCCCCTTGTTTTCTATCAGTGATATTATCATATTGTGCTCTTGATCATTCTCAATTTCTCATGTAGACGAATTGTGTTAGCAATCAATCCTAAGTTTATGTAAAAACAAACTAATCAATATCTTATAGAATATTATAAAATTATTCCGAAAACTAATACATACTACACCACACGGGAGCACCGACTCCATAATTATTATAATAAGGATCATTACAAGGCGATGCATGCATTACAATTTACAAACCAAGAGAGTATGGGAAACCAGTGGATGGCAACCAACTTCCACCTGCAATGAAGCTTCCAGCAGTAAAACTTTCAGCCTCCGCAACATCCGTAATCACACCCCACCCTTTCCATGTTACCCTGTTAGACGTATCTGCCCCAGGCCCTGTGTTTTCATACTCCCGATAATACAACGTATCTAGAGCAAAATCCCCATCCCAAGGGTACCATCCAGCAGGGTCAATGACGTCACTTATCGACGACTGCATCACTACTGTTCTTGAATACTCCTTCCATGGCCTTCCAAGATACGTCGGAAAACTGGATTGAACCGGTTGCAGGTCGGAATTGGCGACGATGGTGCACTTTTGAATGACGATGCCGGTGTTTTGGTTTGGGTCGGTTCGACCTTGAGCGGTGATCATGTTCTTTTGTTTGGGATTGGGGCGGCGGGGTTGGATGTTACAGTTTTGGAGGACGACGGCGGAGTTGCCAAAGATGAAATCAACGGTGCCGACGACCATGCAGTCAACGAAGAATTGACGATTGGAGTGGACGTAAAGGGTATCTTGGTAGGCTAGTATACCACATCTATAGAATGCAGATAAATCGGCTCCAACACGTAGTGCTACTGCTTGATTTCCCGATGGCCCGGCTGCATTTTGAAATGTTATATCTCGTGCCAAGAATCCATCACCTACCGCAGCTGTGATCAAGATATTTAGTCAGTTCTTAATTCATGTCTGAATTGAAAGCTCCTTTTTTTTTTCTCTTGCTGAATCAAAGATATGTTTTGTTTATCATCAAATAATAACTGTTTTCCTTCTTTATATTCTTCAAAATTATATTTTATTGTTATTATTATAATCTTATATAATACCCTTTATATCTTTTGATTGATGATTGAAAAGGTAAATATATCCATGATAACTTTAAAATATTAAAAGTTAAAAGTTAAAGTGAAGGAAAGTTAGAATATATATTGAACTAAAGAAAATGCATGCAAATTACAAAAAATGTTTTAATTATGTGTACACCTAATTTTTCACCAAACACGTGCTTGATTAATATAATCTAGATATATACTCACTAAAATAATCAAAACAGGAGGAATATTAACCCTGAATTATCATTGTTTTTTTCTAAAATTATTAAAAAAGTACTGCTATGCATCTCACATAAAAAATTGACAAAATCTTTGAAATTTGCAAAATTATTTTTCCAAACATACAAGCAAATCTTACCTACCGTTTTTAATAACTATTTAATGAATAGTGAAAGTGTCGTTTGAATAATTGTCATTTGCAAGAAAAAAAATCTTTTTACGAAATACATAACTATTCACATTTCCTTATAATTAATTATAGGGAAAATGATTTAAAAGCCCAACGAAGTTTCCAAACCATTCAAAAAACCTCAATTATGTTTTATCTGTTCAAAAAACCCCAACGAACTTAACCTTTTGTCTAAAAAGTCCAACAAAGTTTCAAACCGTTCAGAAAATTCCAATTTTGTTTTGTTTAAGTTCGTTGGGTTTTTTTTGAACAGTCAAAACATAATTGGAGTTTTTTAAACGTTTTGGAAACTTCGCTGGCCTAACAAATCATTTTTCCGATACGGTAATAAGTCACGTCATCTGTTTTCCTTATTTGACTTTCGAGGAAGTGTAACTTAGTTGAGCTTTTTAGATAAAATGTTAAGTTTGTTGGGTTTTTTTGAACAGACAAAACATGATTGGAGTTTTTTAAACGGTTTGAAAACTTCATTGGATTTTTAAGTCATTTTCCTTTAATTATAACACACAGATCCATAACTTATCTATTTTAAAAGTTAATATAAAAATCCACCCGGATCGATATGAATTTGGGTTCAATGAAATGGTTGATCATGAGGTATAACATAATTGGCTTTTTAAAAGTATTTTAAAACCTGCGAATAAATGTGTATTGTAGAACTAATGAATCAGTAAAAGTTGAAGGGATGCTAAGTAAACACTTCACTAACCTACGGTGGCAGAGTCGAAGGTGGTGCTTCCGCCGGCGACGCTCAGGCTTGCCGTAATAATCGTGTTACTTCTTCCGTCCCCGATAAACATTAAATTGGTTTTGCTGCTTGGAACTTCAACATTTTCCCTATACACTCCTGCCGCTATCTTTATCACATACCTGCTTGTACTTTTAGATGGAGCCGCAGCCACCGCTGCCGCTACCGACGTGTAATCTCCACTACCATCCGCCGCCACAGTCACGTCTGGCGTCACGTCTCCCGACTGCATCAGTTTCCTGTCTCCTGCAGACAACCACTCCGGCCACATCGACACCTCTTGTAGCACATCCAACTTTGCCTCCTTCGAATTCAACATATCCGTATTCGTCATGTCTACAATCATAGCTAGCGCATTACTACACATCTTTCCCCCGAGCTCCTGGCCTCCGACAATTGAATTACGCAACAGCTTACATTCTGCATCATGGGAGAAGCCATCTAAGCAAGTCTCCTTGTTGGTGATGGTGGTGCTCATGAATGTTTTGAGGTCGTCGGCATGTCTCCGAAGAGATTTCTTCGTTGGATACTCTCTGAGGTCTCCGATCACCTTGTCGAGTGCTTCTAGCGTTCCAGCTGCCAACTGTAAGCAGTCATGGATAGCGATTTTGCCACGTTTGGTGACATTGGCGGAGGTCGTGAGCTTGTTTATGGCGTGGAAATTGGCATGGATGATCTCCTTTGTTTGATTGATTGTATGTTCGATTATATCCTTTTTAGTTGCGAGGGTTTTGGTGGTGGAGAGGGTGGAGTAGCATATGTCTGGGTATAATGTAGTGGAACAGGAGGATTTGATGAGGTTGGAATCTGGAAGATCACGAGTTCCATGGACAAGTGAAGTTAGTAGGAGGGAAGAAACGAGAAATAAAAGTGCTTTACCGAAGTTGGACATATTCAAGAGAATAAAGGTAAGTTGTTTGAGTGGAAGACGAACGAGTGAAAGTCGGATATTTATCATCATCATCCTCCACTAGATCTCTTCCACCATAAAGATTTTATGATAAATTTAAATTCATAATTAAATTAAATCCACTTATTATTAAATTGAGTAATTGCTACCAAATTGAATAAAATGAAGTAATTAATTAAAATGCGTACGTTAACTATTTTTCTATGTTTCAGACATTGTGGTTCTCAATTTGTAGAAAATCACTATAATTTTATATCGGTTTTTTTATACATTTTTTTAATGAAACTGAAAAATATAAAGTAACTTAAAAATATATTTAAAAGATTATATTTTATAATTAATTAAAAAGTATATTTGTAAAAAATTCTAAAATGTTAGTCTAAATAGTTTTTTAAAATATTAATTTATAAATTATTTTTTAACTTAACAGTCATGATAATTTAAAAAAACTCGAAAAATAAATTAACTATAGCATAGGCCAAACATAATCATAATTATACATATATATAATTATACATATGTAGTTTAACCAGTATGATTTACACTGTATCATGACTCGGTAATCGATAAGGATAATGCATATGATAAAACAATTTTGTTAATCTGTTCCTACCTAAATGATCCATTTAACGATGGTAATGTGTTTGGCATGGCTTTAATTTTCCCTAACACGTGTATTCATGGGCCCTATGTCCATTCCTATCATTTTACTTTCTTATCCTAAGCATTTTATTGTACATGAGTAGTTGAAAAACCTATTTATCCAAATTATAGTACTTTTAAATTTATTTAGCACTTAATATATAGTACCTTTTAAACATAAAACTAAAAAAATTGAAAAATGATCACTTTTTTTGCCCCGTGATTGATCTTTTGTTACTTTCTTCTCGTGGAAAACCACTAACGGCCTCGTCGCCCTCTCATCAGTGCTCGGAGAACCTTTCACGTACCCCCAAAGAAACCCATCTATCAGTCCTTTTTCTCTGTTAAATAATGTTTAATTAACATCAATCTTGAAAGCATCCAACTCTTTTATAATATAAGATCCAAAACCTCATGGTTTCATGAACATGAGCATATTCCTTTTCTGCCAAGCTTGTATATGCTTTCGTCAGCCAACGATTTAAACATATATAATTAACTTTGTAGACTTTTACATAGTCTTTACCATAACAATAACAATATGAATCAGTCAATTTCATTTTCTGGCAAGGAAACTAAACATATAAGAGAGAATCGTCTCCGACGATAGATATTTGGTTCTATTGACTTTAAATGCTTTTAATAAAATATGTTGGGTACATGAAAAACCATTTTTTTTTAATATTTTTAAAACTGCAATACTTTGGTAAATATTTTTTTTAAAAAGCTACCTGACCATACAAAAGTCATTAAATATGATGTTGACTAAAAGCATATTATCACAAAATCTCTTAAGTTTGTCAAAAGCAAAAAATCATTTTATCCTAAGTCCATTAATACTCTAAGTTTAAGAATCTTTTCTCATAAATACACCAAGGTCATGTTGGAGGCTTATGTTGTGTGTTAAAACCTATTCCCAATTTCCCACGTTAACTTGTCTCTGGGTGGAGATGGTATATTGTTAGCGGACTTATTATATGTATATCCATGTATTATTATTAGTCCATAGAAGCCCTATGTTGTGTGCATATTGGTATTCGGCCCATGTGGTTTGTATTTATTGTTTATTCTAATGATAACGAAATTCAAGGGGAAAATGCTTTCTGAAAGCATTTTCCCCTTGAATTTCGTTATCATTAGAATAAACAATAAATACAAACCACATGGGTCGAATACCAATATGCCCACAACATACAATGGGCTACTATGGACTAACAATAATACATGGATATACATATAATTCGTCCACTAACATATATATGCACTTAGAAGGTATGCATGGCCAAACATCTCTTTTGTTGTTCAACATATATGTTTGTTTATGTATGATCCACATGAACCTCACATGCAAACTTTAAAACGCACCTTTCACTACTTACAAGGCGTTATTTATCATGGCCTATAGATCCATGCATGTTTCTCCCACATTGAGTCGCCTACCTGTTAACGGGGGTGGATGACTTGCCACTGAGACAGTCCACCTCCGGGTATTGTGTGTTCATGGGAGACAACAAGATCATCTATTGTTCCTCAAAGTCGCCTACTATACACAAATGATGTTAGCAAACAACAATTGAGTAAAGATTGTGGAAGCTACATAATGAACTTAATTGCTTCCCATGTGATTTGATGCATCTAGTTTTGTTAAATAGTTCAAATATAAAGGGAAAACGTATTAAATGAAGCGGGTGGAACAAGTGACACTCTCATATGATGTGATGCTTACATATCAAACAATTTGATGAAACATATTTTTGCTTTTATTACACCATACTATAAAAAATCTTTTCACTTTATTATGTTTGTTTTTATTTGTGGAATAAGTGGGGTAAATACTTTGCCAAATCAATCAGAAAAATCATAAAATTTTGATGGGTACGGTGTTACATTATAAGACATGTAACATTAGATTAGGATGCAAATTTCTTAGTTTGATTAGCAAAATTAGTTTTTCAATACTCGTGTTGAAAAAAGATAGTATTATTGTTCAATCTTTAAGAAAATTGCAGCGTGTTAAATTTGGGGTATAAAGATGAGAGGAGTGATGAGTTTGGACCAATAGTGGGTGGTGGTGGACTCTTGACAATTCCAACTTGTTCTCGACATCATCTTTACGCAATTATATTGATGGAATCATCCTACCACTACTATTTCTTTGTTTGTTTCTGTTTTTGCTTTTACCTCCTAACTTTTTGCTAGCTTTTTGCTTCGATATAATGTCGGTGTTCAGAAATAATAAAAATATGAACACCAAAATGACAATTGAAAGTATCACGTATGTTGAATAAGCACATTGTAAAAATCTCATATTCATTTAATTTGTTTTATAGGAAGCAAATTCACGTACGTGCCAAAGAGAGCATTCTGTAAACATGTTTATAAGCAAACATTTATTTCCAGTTGATTTTTCTATACATAAGTGACAAATTAAATCAAGAAATTAACAGATTAAATGGGACAATGTCTCCATTAACATTAAATGAACAAACCGATTAACTTTGACCTCCTTCAGCATTGTTATCACCAGGGCTAAAAGGATTAAACCTTCTACTGCTGCTCAAAATTCTCCTTAATGACCTCATTCCAGAAAACACTGGAGTTTTCTCATCATCCTCCTCACTAACCACCTGCCTTGGTATATCAATTACTAAATCTGGTTTCTCTCTATCATTATTTGTCTGCGATGACAATGACGACGATGATGATGAAGATGAAGGTGGCTCGAAAGGTAAAATAGGAACTTGATGCTGATTATTGGCTTCTTCCAGTTGAGAAGTCAAAGTGCTTACTTCGGTTTCATCACCATGTGAATCCCCACCGTTAGTCGATTGTTCTTGTGTTTGATGATTCTCCAGTAAACTCTCCACCGAAACTTCGGTTTTTTCTTGAACAGGGTTTCTGCAGATGGGGCAAGTTATATGTGAATGAAACCACATATCAATGCATTCCGCATGAAAGGCATGATTGCATTTAGGCAAGATTCGAGCTTTTTCTCCTTCCTCGACTTCAGATAGACAAACTGAACATTCCAAACTGTCTTTGAAGTCTTTTGCCTCGAATTGTATGACTGGTATAGTTTTGAGGAAGGAGGCGTCGAGGCCACGCCGGAGGGAAGTGACGCCAGAGTGCTGGTCTTGGAGACGGCGGCTGCTGTGGGTATCTATACCTTGTTGACTGCGGTTCCATAACCACTTGGCGTAGATATGAAGCAAGAAAACAAGGATGAGAACGATGAACAAGGCAATGATGGTAGCCATCAAGATTCTCCCACTGAGCTTCGAGACACTTGAATCAACTAATCTTTGATCACTCATCTTTTAGAAAGAATTAGAAAAGCTTTGATTAGTTGATTGGAAAAGAAACCCAGAAGTGAGAATTGAAATTGGAGGTTGATGAGAATCTGGGAGAAGATTATAAGGATGATGAAATTGCTAAAGACGAAGGAGAATTCAAAGTAGCCATGAGTTTGACCATTCATAGCCATTAACGAATTCAACTGACGGGTAGAATCTAAACTTATAAAGGGTTGACTCATTGCATATTTTAATTATATAATCGAGAAACATGTTAATTTTTGTCTATAGTGGTGTAGAAAATAAGTAATGGGATTAATTAAGAAAAGGTAATTTACAAAGATTCACCCCTGTGTTTTGTTTGAATAATATGCAGAGTCATGTATCTATCCAGAAGCTTCAAGTCAACAGGACATTTCTTGGTATCAACATGTGTTTTCACTTTTTTGTTTTTTGTTTTTTCTTGTTTGTGGCATTGAAATATGGTAATGTGAATGAAGAGAAAAATGACAGTGACGTCATAAATTGATTATGTCCGAATTGTATTTAGTTCTTGATTAGATGACAAAGCATGTGATCAAAGAATATTTGTCGTTCAACAAACTTTACAACCCATTTCTCACAAAGCTAATCCAAGAAACACTTCAAGTAAGATATCATCAAGTAAATCGTCTAATGTTATGCAAAATGTTATTAAAATTGGGATTTGGCAAGCACCAATATGCAATAAGGACTATCAAAGTTAAAAGTTGTGATGATGTTAAGTGGAGTTCAAGTTCTAGATTTGGCAAACACCAATATGCAATAGAATGAGTCATTATTTTTGGAACACCCCCCAAATTTTCGGCCCAAATTGGCAAATTGTTAGTTGTTACATACTAACTCCTCTTTAGAATGCGCGCGTTTTACAATATATTACCAAATGGGTCACTCTAGTCCATTAAGTAAGGTCTAGACATATTATAAGGAGTAATAAGTACATCTGAGTTCTTATGGTGTATCTCACCTAGCAATGCATGTTAAAAGTAAAATGCGTTAAATAGCATATTAAAAGTCAAATGAGTTAGATTGAATATCTAGCAAACATATTATATATTTTGATTATGTTTTTCAATTTCGTTCAATTTTGATGTTAATATCAAGACCCTCATAGGGTACCCGATTTGCCATGCTAAGATGAAAAATGTGATGTCGAAGTCCGTAAAAAATACATAGTGTTTATAGACAAATTTTGAAAAATACAATGATAGAATTAAAAAAAAAATAGAAAATATAAAATATGCTAGTCTACTTATAACAATATATATATATATATATATATATATATATATATTACACACTACACTAGGTGTCTCTTATACTATTTACACTATTTTCAATAGAAGCCAAACAAAAAAAAAAGGACTTGGACTTATAAAAATCAATAAAATAAATAAAATATGTGAATGATCCATACAAATTCTTATCTTCAATTCGTTTTAAAGGATGCAAATTCGAGTACATACATGACAAACTATCATCTTCGATTAGTAAAATTCTCTATCTTCAATTCTTTTTAAAAGAAACATATTTGTTTTAAAGGGGGGTGGTGGAAGAATCACCTCCCCCAAATTAACTAGAACTATTACCCATCCATTATACATATCAAACATGTTTCTAAGCAAACATTTATATTTACTCAATTGTTCTATACATAATTGACAAATGACAAATTAAATCAAAAAAATAAACAAATTAATTGGGACAATGCCTTATGTCACCAAACTCAGCCAGCAGCCCCGCCGGCGGTGCCTCTTGTCACATCCATTAACATAAAATGAACAAACCGATTAACTTTGACCTCCGTCGCCATTGTTATTACCAGGGCTAAAAGGATTAAACCTGCTGCTCAAAATTCTCCTCAATGACCTCATTCCAGAAAACACTGGAGTTTTCTCATCATCATCCTCACTAACCACCTGCCTTGGTATATCAATTACCAAATCTGGTTTCCCTCTATCATTATTTGTCTGCGATGATGATGATGATGATGAAGAAGATGAAGGTGGCTCGAAAGGTAAAATAGGAGCTTGATGCTGATTAGTCGCTTCTTCCAGTTGAGAAGTCAAAGTGCTTACTTCCGTTTCGTCCCCCCAAAACAACATATTTACGGGGAAAGTGTGTGAGTTTGAATCCCCACTGTTTGTCGATTGTTCTTGTGTTTGATGATTCTCAAGTAAACTTTCCACCGAAACTTCGGTTTGTTCTTGAACTGGGTTTCTGCAGATAGGACAAGTTGAATGTGAATGAAACCACATATCAATGCATTCCGCATGAAACGCATGATTGCATTTAGGCAAAATTCGAGTTTTTTCTCCTTCCATGATTTCGGATAAGCAAACCGAACATTCCAACCCGTTTTTGAAGTCTTTTGCCTCGAATAGTATGACCGGTAAACTGTTGAGGAACGAGGCGTCGAGGCCACGGCGGAGGACAGTGACGCCGGAGTGCTGATCGTGGCGATGGCGGTTGGTGTAGGCGTCTATACTCCGTTGACGGCGGTGCCATAACCACCTGGCGTAGATATGGAATAAGAAAACAAGGATGAGGACGACGACCAAAGCTATGATGGTGGCAATCAAGACTCTTCCGGTGACCTCCATGACACCTGGATCATCCAATTTGCTATTGCTCATCTTGAATTTGATCGAGAATTAGAAAAAGGTTTAGACTTGTTGTTCGGAAGAGAACCCCAGAAGTGAAAAACAAAAACTAAATTGGAAGTTGAGGAGGAAGTGGGAGAATATTATAGGGAGGAGGAAAAGGAGGTGAAATGAGGTGGAGTAGTGGCGGCGTTTTAGGTTGCCAAAGAGGAAGAAGTATTCAAAGTGGCAATATGTTTGACCATGTATAGCTATTTGACGAATTCAACTGACGGATAGAATCTAAACTTCTTAACCGTTTTAGACTCATTTCATCTTTTACTTTTTTATTTATTAACGTTTTCCTTGAACATTTATAAAATAATAATAATAATAATAATAATAATAATAATAATAAATCTTTTTTTTGTTAAACATATATATGTAAATTAACGGAATGAATAATTATATATCGTATTATCCTGATCTAAAGAACAAATAACTGGATATAAATTGAAAGCGTTAATTTACAGATTCAGCCCTTATCTGTGTTGTTGAGCAGCCATCCATACATCCACTTTTTAGAAT